CTCTTCCTGACGGTCCGGACCCGGAGTCTGACTCCCTTCGTGCTGCTAGTCCTACTGTCACGCGCTTTCTGGCCACTGCTGTCACTGACCCTCTGTTTGAGTCCTCTGCTGCGTCTGCTCTCGTTGCTGAGCTTGTTGACTTTGCTGCAGCCTGTCGCCTGGACTACGCCGCTAGTCTTGTTGCTGAGTCTGTGTCTGCGTCTGTCTCTCCTCTGTCCGTCGGGGGTGAGTGTGCTCTTGGCACGGACGTCCTTGAGGACAGACAGGAGGACCTTGAGTGTTTTACTGCTGCTTCACCTCATCTCGTGTCCATGCTGCTTGCCCCTGAGGGAGACCCGGATGCACCAGACATCCCGACCCCGCGCTCTTACGAAGAGGCGATAGAGGGTCCCTACTCCTCTCAGTGGCAGGCAGCCATGGACGCCGAGATGGCTTCCTGGAAGTCCACACGCACCTACGTCGACGAGGTTCCCCTGCCTGGGGCGAACATCGTCAGTGGCATGTGGATCTTCACGGTGAAGCGGCCGCCGGGTTCTCCGCCTGTCTTCAAGGCGCGTTACGTTGCACGTGGCTTCAGTCAGCGACAGGGAGTTGACTTCTTCCAAACCTTCTCCCCTACCCCGAAGATGACCACTCTTCGGGTACTGCTGCACGTAGCTGCTCAGCGTGACTACGAGCTCCACTCGCTTGACTTCAGCACAGCCTTTCTACAGGGCAGCCTGCACGAGGAGATCTGGCTGCGGCGCCCACCTGGCTTCACTGGGTCGTTTCCAGCTGGTACCCAGTGGAGCCTCCGGCGGCCAGTCTACGGTCTCCGCCAGGCACCTCGTGAGTGGCACGACACACTCAGGACGACTCTTGCTGCTCTTGGTTTTGCTCCTTCCACTTCTGACCCTCCTCTGTTCTTACGCACTGACACTACTCTGCCGCCGTTCTACGTTCTCGTGTACGTAGACGACCTCGTCTTTGCTACTGCTGACACTGAGGCACTCGCCCACGTAAAGTCCGAGCTGCAGAAGAGACACACGTGCACAGACCTGGGTGAGCTCACGAGCTATCTTGGCTTGCGGATCACCCGGGACAGAGCACAGCGCACCATTACCTTGACTCAGTCACACATGGTGCAGCAGCTCCTTCAGCGCTTCGGCTTCACGTACTCCTCGCCACAGTCCACTCCTCTGCCTACCGGTCACTCGCTCTCAGCTCCACCTTCGGACGAGTCCGTAGAGCCGAGTGGCCCGTATCCAGAGCTTGTGGGCTGCCTCATCTACCTGATGACTTGCACACGACCTGACCTCGCATACCCTCTCAGCCTTCTGGCTCGCTACGTGGCTCCCGGCAGGCACCGAAAGGTGCACTGGGATGCTGCGAAGAGGGTGTTGCGATACTTGTGCAGTACATCGGGCATGGGGCTCGTGCTTGGAGGACGGGCTCGAGTTGTCCTCACTGGTCACGCTGACGCCTCCTGGGTTGACGACTTGGCTACGCAGCGGTCGTCACAGGGTTACACCTTCAGCCTTGGCTCCGGTTCTGTCTCCTGGCGGTCTACCCGCTCTTCTTCTGTTCTCAGCTCCAGTTGCGAGGCTGAGATCTACGCTGGGGCCATGGCTGCACAGGAGCTTCGCTGGCTCACCTACCTGCTGACCGACTTGGGAGAGGCGCCTCGTTCTCCTCCAGTTCTGTACGTCGACAACAAGGCCATGCTGGCCTTGTGTCAGGAGCACAGACTGGAGCACAGAACGAAGCACATTGCTCTGCGCTACTTCCTTGCTCGAGAGTTGCAGCAGCGTGGCCAGCTTCGTCTTGCTTACGTGGCCTCTCAGGCCAACACTGCTGATGTCTTCACCAAGGCACTTCAGCCTTGTGATCATCAGCGTTTCTGTACTGTGTTAGGCCTTGTACCTACTGTGCCTCACTTGTTGACTTCTTGACTCTGCTTGTACTGTACTCTATATACTTATACCTGCATGCTTACACTTGCTAGGTTGTGTTCACTGTACTGTTTACTTTCCTTTATATAACTCTGCATGTGAACTGGCCTTATGGCCCTTTGCTTGTGCTCAGACTGTGTGGTGACTTTGTGATGCACCCTGAGCTTGCTTTGCTTTTCTTGACTGGTCTTGTGACCTCTTGTTCTCCCCCACTTTGCCTATGGGGGTGTGTCAGACTTATATCTGCTATGGTCTATTTAGGCTGTAGTGGGGTAGCTCTTAGTGGGTACAACACTTATGTGTTTCCTATATGTACCCATCTCATTTCTAGTTCATTCATTCTTTTCGTCAAATCCTTCTCACAATATAGTGTGTAGAGGCTAGGTGAGGAATGCGCATTCGCAGCTCTCCCCACCAGCCAGCACTTACTCAGTGTAGTATGAGCCGTATCCGCCGGATGGAGGGAGGTCTGGTAACCCTTCCTTTGCCAAAAACTAGCACAGTGGGACAAACATGGCGATGCGAGCGTCCGCCGTGCAGACGAAGAGCGCTATGTGGAGTAGACGGATGATGTGTCGGGTAGAAGAATCCGTGATCTGCCACCGTGTGAGAGTGGCCTGCTTGGCTTTCTCCGCCTCCGATTTCTCCAGGTTATCCACTGCTTGCTTGTGGGCACGGGTAGCTGAGTGAGTGCGGATGCTGCCGATCTGGAGATCTCGAGCATCATCCCCCTTCGCCCCATACGATCTGTGCGCTAGCGGATCCCCGTGCTTAACACAAATGAAACACTTCAACGAAGGCCTGCTGTTAGACATGCGATGTACGCGTAACCATTTGAAACTACCTGCCCACTGAGAGTCAAAAGTCTTCTTTACCGATTCGTACTCAGCATCCGCCAAGGCGGTGGGAGGCTTGGGTTCGGCAGGAGGTGCAGGCCGTTTATGAGTAGACGCGTTTCGGGGAGGTGGGGCGCCCCAGAGTGTCTGCTGCTTGTACGTCGCTCCCACACGCTGTTGCTTGTCGGGCGCGCTGCTGACCGTCGAAGGCGAACCAGTTGGCGGCTTTGACGGGCCCTCGCCACCTCTGGGCACAATATCCAGGGAAGGGTGTGGCTCCCACGCATGGGGTGAGTCTAATGGCTGGAACGGATACACCGTTCCTATCTCGCATTCTGGAGACGGTTCGCGACGCGCCGGCGAGATAGGAACGGTGTAGTTTACGTTAAGGCATGGCAAAACTCCCAGCACTGAGAGGCCGTTTCTCGTGCTACCAGGTGGATCAGCCTCTCGAGCATGCATGTTTGACGAATCTTATGAAAATGGACGAGAATGGAGAACAAGCGAGAGACCCCCTCGTTGAGCTCGAACCTCACATGGCCTCTTCAGGCCAGAATCTCAGACAGCCAATAAGGCCACATGGCGAGGGGTGCGTTGGTAGTGGGCGTGGCGTGGTTTGGCTCGATGCAGGGGTGCGTTGGCAGTCCTGTGGGTAAGACAGCCAATCAGGCCACATGGGGATCCGCCGACCACATGTCACGGCTTCCCGCCTGTGGTCACCAGCGACAACGATGCCAGTGTGAGAGTGGGACATTTTGGCACCACGCGGAGAATGGGCTGATCCGCGTTAAAAATAGTTTCGGTAACAGGGTAGTCGTCACACAACCCTGATTCCGTCAGGCTAACTAAAAATCCAATCAGGAAAAAAAAAAAAAAAACAACACTTTTTGGGTAAGGGTAAGAATCTTCGATGCCTGATTTAGAAAGGGTAACTCTGAAAAAGCGGCCCGCCCCCAGGGTAATCAGGGTACTTTACCCTGATATTTTGGGGCCTGTTCGTCGCGTGACCCTCGGGTACTCGCTAAAGTGCGAGTAGAGTAAGGAATTACAATTCTTTACATAACACTTGCCTGCAATGGGAAGCGGGGAGATGCCAAGTCACTCGCGCAAGCTCTCCCCCAATTGGGGAGATCCATGTGCCCCCCCCCCACTCCCACAATACATTACATGGTGACCAGACGTTTAACAAAAAAAATATGAACCCAACCCTGCCAAAAGTGCACCGTCGCTTTAACGCCTAAACCGTGTTCCAACCGACCGCATGATATGTTTGGGAAAATATGCCGTTCGTAACCATCATGGGACTCGAAAACATTTTTGGTAAAAAAATAAAGGGTACGGTCACTGCAAAGGGTGTTTTCACGCGACTGATAAAGCGTCTCACGGAATCAGTCACAATCAGCTGGTAAAAAAAAACGCGAATGGTCACAGATGAAACTCCCGCCAAAACAAAATGAAACCCAGAAAGAACCTGGATGCATTTTCGGATGATCAACCCTAAACACGTAACTAGCCAGGTGTTTAGGGTTGATCCGTTCCCAAACCGCATCCGATTCCGATTGGGTTTTAGTTTTTTTACAAGTTCGCAGATTGGTTGGGCGCGAGCGGGAATTTTGTTGAGTTTCAAGTTTTTTTGGCGGGAGTTACATGTGTGACCATTCGCGTGATTTTTTACCTGTTGTTAGTGACTGAATCCGTGACCCCGCTTACCAAACCCGTCAGAAAATCCGATACAGTGACCGTACGCGTTTTTTTTTTTCCCATTCACGTTATCGAGTTCCAAGTTGGTTACTTGTGGCATATTTTCCCGATATGTTTTCCATGAAACGGGCTCGAATCAGCAGCAGACTGGCGCATCTCTTGCGGGTCGCTTGAAGTACACTAGAGCAGACCCTGGGAGACACTGTGAGGCGCGGCCAGCCGTGGCCATCCATCCACGCGGAGAGCCTCGTTGCCGCGACGCATAGCAGTATCTGTCTCATCTGTTCAATCGGTCTAACCCGCCAGAGTGCGCCTACCGTTCGCCGCACCATCTCGCCTCGCATGCTGTTTTCACCTCCTCGCCCAAAGTCCTTTCCAGTTCGTTCGACTTCCTAACAAGCAGTAATTTAGATCAACCATTAGCAGATAATAATATTTACTGCTCTGCTCTTCTATCCGTGGGCTCAGCGCCTTGCCGAAGTATTTGCAGGCGGACGAGAGAGTCGAGTGGTGGATATCGCGGCGGGACGAAATGTGGCCCTTCGGCAATTCCGAGAAGCAGCAAGGTGGGCGAAGGGAAGCGCGTGGTGAGGAGAGTGGAGAGTGAAGGAGGGAGGGAGGGGGTGAGTGAGTGAACCGCCGGCTCTCGCACCTCTGTTCACTGCACTTTTACCTTTCCTTCTTGCTCCGCTACAGCCTTGCCTCTGCGCCACGAGGGGGGGAGGTCCTACTACGACGTGCAGCCTGGCGACAACCTGACAAAGATTGCCGGCCAGCTGGGAAGCACTGTGGAGATTCTCATGCAGGTGACGCGCTAGTCTGGTCTGTTGGGGTGGAGAAGAGGGAGTGTTAGCAAAGCGAAAGCCCTGCTCTCTGCCCTTTTCACCATGTCCCCTGTTAGTTTTTGTTGTCAGATTTATTTCTCCCATGGGTTTGCTCACTGATGTGCTTCCCATGGAGTGGTGGCAGGCCAATGCACTCCGCTCAGACCTCTTGCACCCCGGACAGAGCCTCTGGGTTCCGCGCACATACACCATCGCAAAGGTGTGTTCCCGCACATACACCATCGCAAAGGTGTGTTCCCGCACATACACCATCGCAAAGGTGTGTTCCCGCACATACACCATCGCAAAGGTGTGTTCCCGCACATACACCATCGCAAAGGTGTGTTCCCGCACATTCACCACCGCAAAGGTGTGTTCCCGCACATTCACCACCGCAAAGGTGTGTTCCCGCACATACACCATCGCAAAGGTGTGTTCCCGCACATACACCATTGCAAAGGTGTGTTCCCGCACATACACCATCGCAAAAGTGTGTTCCCGCACATACACCATCGCAAAGGTGTGTTCCCGCACATACACCATCGCAAAGGTGTGTTCCCGCACATACACCATCGCAAAGGTGTGTTCCCGCACATACACCATCGCAAAGGTGTGTTCCCGCACATACACCATCGCAAAGGTGTGTTCCCGCACATACACCATCGCAAAGGTGTGTTCCCGCACATACACCATCGCAAAGGTGTGTTCCCGCACATTCACCACCGCAAAGGTGTGTTCCCGCACATACACCATCGCAAAGGTGTGTTCCCGCACATACACCATCGCAAAGGTGTGTTCCCGCACATACACCATCGCAAAGGTGTGTTCCCGCACATACACCATCGCAAAGGTGTGATCCCGCACATACACCATCGCAAAGGTGTGTTCCCGCACATACACCGTCGCAAAGGTGTGTTCCCGCACATACACCATCGCAAAGGTGTGTTCCCGCACATACACCATCGCAAGGGTGTGTTCCCGCACATACACCACCGCAAAGGTGTGTTCCCGCACATACACCACCGCAAAGGTGTGTTCCCGCACATACACCATTGAAAAGGTTTGCTCTGAACACGCATGACCCATGCAAGTGGTACTACCATGTGCTCTTTCACACACTGTATTCTACATACTCTGTTCTTGCTGTTCACAGCCGAAGTTCAGCTGACGTCAAAGGCTGTCTCCAACATTGCATCGTGACCATATGGCTGTGAATATGAAATTGTGCACGTGCAGGGTGACACCCTTTATGCCATTGCTCGTATGCATGGAACAACAGTGGATGCAATTATGCAGATCAACAACATCCAAGATGCAAACTTGATTCGTACAGGTGAAGTGTCATTGGATCACTTGTCCTGCCCGTTCCCCTCCTCATGTGCCCTTATGTACCTCTTTGCTCCATTGACAAAGGATTTCTTGGTGTTTATTGCAGATGACATCATTTTGCTGCCATAGAAGAGTTCTGTGTGTTCTTTTTTTTCAGGCTTTTGTCATGATTGTAAATAGTAGCTTACTCCACTTTGGGATCATTACTTGACAATTCTAAGTATTAAAAGGACAGTGGCGGTGAAAGGTTTCTTGGTGCTCCATCTGGTTGTTGCATGGGTGCCTGTGTTTCTTATGCCTGTATGAAGTAGACTCATTTCTGAATGGCTTTGAATGCCATGTATGTCCAGCATCTTGTTTTGTACCAAGGTCCTATTGTGAGAGGTAGCAGGCCACTGGGCGCAACGGACGGAGGGCATGGGGGGATGGGCGGAGGGGGAACAGCGGGCGGGGCGTTTGGCCGCGGGGGCATGGGGGGGATCATGGCGTCCCAGGGGGGAGGGGGCGAGGCGGCATTGGAGAAGCAGGTGGAGGAGCTGAGGCGACGCATAGTGGCATTGATCTTGACTATGATGCTATCCTTGTTGCCATGTATGCCTTGTCTGTTAGTGTTGAGGGTGACTGTTACCGGTGTGTGCCGCCCGACCCAGGTATAGAGGCTGCTGCTCTAGGTGCTAGTGAGTCTGCTCTCCCTCCCTGGTACTGCGCCTGCTGAGGCATTGCACACCTTTATACTTGACTTAGGTGCTTCCCGCTGTTTCTTTCGCGATAGTACCACCCTCACTCCACTCCCTACACCTGTTCCGGTCAGACTGGCTGACCCCTCAGGGGGCCCAGTTCTTGCCCGTTCCTCTACTGTTCTCCCGTGTCCAGCGGTTCCGTCCGGCTCACTATCAGGTCTTCACCTCCCCTTGTTCTCTACGAACTTGGTGAGTACTGCTGCCGTCCAGGATGCGATGGTCACTACCACCACTCCTGGGGGTCAGCGTGTGTCGATCTGCACGTGTACACGGACGGGCCGTCACCTGGCCACGTTCACCCGTCGGCCTGGGTCGAATCTGTACACACTGACTACTGAGCCTCCTCAGGTAGCTGAGTCTGCCCAGGTGTCCGCGTCAGGTCCGGTAGCACCCCCCTGCTCATGTCGCCTCCTGTCGCACCAGACTCTCCCGTGGCACCACCGCCTTGGTCACCCCTCCTTGCCACGCCTTCGTGGCATGCACTCCCGCCTCCTTGTTTCTGGTCTTCCCAGGTCTCTGCCTCCCCTCCCGCCCTCGCCTGCCCCGCCCTACCTTCCTTGTGCCAGGTCGCTCCTCACTCCTCCTCGTTTCCCCAAACGACTGCTCCCTGCAGACTCTCCACATAGACATGTGGGGCCCAGCCCGCGTCAGTGGACAGGGCCGCGAGCGCTACTTTCTGTTGGTTGTTGACGACTACACACGTTACACCACGGTCTTCCCCTTGCGCAACAAGGGTGAGGTCCTTGATGTCTTGATCTCTTGGATCCGCGCAGTCCGTCTCCAGCTCCGCGAGCGGTTCCGCCAGGACCATCCTGTCCTGCGTCTGCACTCTGACAGAGGTGGTGAGTTCTCCTCTGACCTATTGCGGGACTTTTGTCGTGGGGAGGGCATCCTCCAGTCGTTCACGCTTCCGGCCTTCCCGCAGCAAAATGGGATTGCTGAGCGCCGCATTGGCTTAGTCATGGAGGTGGCTCGTACCTCCATGATCCATGCGGCTGCTCCCCATTTTCTGTGGCCGTTTGCGGTCCGGTACGCTGCACATCAGCTCAACCTCAGGCCCCGTGTCTCCTTGCCGGAGACCTCGCCTACAATGCGTTGGACGGGGAAGGTTGGCGATGCGTCGGTGTTCCGGGTCTGGGGCTCTCGTACCTTTGTCCGCGATACGTCCGCGGACAAGCTCTCCTCCCGCGCTATTCCCTGCGTCTTCCTTGACTTTCCCCCTGACGCGCCTAGCTGGCAGTTTTACCACCCCACCGCGCGCCGTGTCCTCCCCTCTCAGGACGTCACGTTTGACGAGTCGGTTCCCTTTTACCGTCTCTTCCCCTACCGCACTGCCCCTCTCCCCCCCCCGGCCGCTTTTCCTTGCTCCAAGTCCTCCTTCGGTAGACCCCCTCCCCCCTCAGGGTCCTGCCCCCTCAAGTGTGTCTCAGGTAGACCCACTCCCCGGGGCTGTGCCTGTCGAGGTAGCTGTAGACTCAGGTGCTCATAGAGGTGCTGCGTCTGGGTTGCTGCGTCTGGGGGTGCTGCGTTTGGGGGTGATGCGTCTCGGGATGCTGAGCCTGCGAGTGCGGAGCCTAGGGGTGCTGAGCTTGAGGGTGCGGAGCCTGGGGGTGCTGAGCCTGGGGGTGCTGAGCCTGGGGGTGCGGAGCCTGGAGGTACTGAGCCTGAGGGTGCGGAGCCTGGGAGTGCTGAGTCTGAGGGTGCGGAGTCTTGGGGTGCAGGGCCTAGGGGTACTGCGTCTGCTGGAGGTCCCGCGGGTACCTCGCCACGTCTGTCACCTCGGCGGGAGCCTCTCTCACCGCGGCAGCTGCACGAGTGGTTTGCTCAGTGCACACGCCTTAGGAGCGGAGCTACAGGGGCCGGAGGCTCTGCTGCTGGAGGCACTGGAGCTGGAGGTGCTGGAGCTACTACTCTTGGAGGTGCTGGAGTTACTGCTGCAGCTGGAGGTACCGGAGGTGCTGGAGTTGCTAGTCTTGGAGGTGCTCGTACTAGAGGTACTGGAGCTGCTGGGGCTGGTGGTTTTGGAGGAGCTGGAGCTAGAGACCCTAGCGCTGGAAGCGCTGGAGCTGGAGGCACTGGTGCTGGAGGCGCTGGAGCTGGGGGCACTGGAGCTGGAGGCACTGGCGCTGGCGGCGCTGGAGCTGGAGGAGCTGGGGCTGGAGACCCTGGCGCTGGAGATGTTGGAGCTGGAGGCACTGGCACTGGAGGCGCTGGGGCTGCAGGCGCTGGGGCTGCAGGCGCTGGAGCTGGAGGTACTGTCGCTGGGGGTACTGGTGCTGGAGGCACTGTGCCGCGACGACTGTTTTTCGTTCCGCCGCCACCGTCGTCTCTGCCGCCACCTAACTCGGTCCTTCGCCAGGTTCTTAGTCTCCCGTCTTCTACTGGCCTTCCGCCTAGCTTACTGAGTCCACCGCCTCACCAGTCGCAGCCACAGTTACAGCCAGACTCCCCTCTGCCTGCTCCTTCTTCTTACGCTGAGCAGACGGGCTCTTTTAAAGAGTGCCGTGAGCCTGAGTCTTGTCCTACCTTGCCTGTTCGCACTGTTTGCACTGGTTGTCGTGTTCCTCGTGCGCGCCCTCCTCCTATCCTCGGCACTCACATTATGGCACTTCGTCCTTCCTCTATTCCACTGCGAGTTCCTCTGCCGCCTCCTCCTGCGTCCTCTTCTCCTGCCGTTCGAGACCCTGAGTCTGACTTAGCTCGTGCTGCCAGTCCTACTGTCCCTCGTCTCCTAGCCACTGTTGTAACTGACCCTTCGTTTGAGTCCACTACTGCGTATGCTCTAGTTGCTGAACTTGTTGACTTTTCTGCCGCCTGTCGTCTCGACTACGTCACTAGTCTTGTTGCTGACTCTGAGTCTGATTGTCCTTTGTCCGTCGGGGGTGAGTGTGCTCTTGGCACGGACGTCCTTGAGGATAGACAGAAGGACTTTGAGTGTCTTGCAGCTGCTGTACCTCATCTCGTAGCCATGCTGCTTGCACCTGAGGAAGACCCGGATGCACCAGACATCTCGACCCCTCGCTCTTACAGAGAGGCGATTACGGGTCCCTAATCCTCTCAGTGGCAGATAGCCATGGATTTTCAGGGTGAAGCGGTCGCCGGGTTCTCCGCCTGTCTTCAATGCTCGTTACGTTGCACGAGGCTTCAGTCAGCGCTAGGGAGTTGACTTCTTTCAGACCTTCTCCCCTACTCCAAAGATGACCACTCTTCGGGTGTTGCTGCACATCGCTGCTCAGCGTGACTACGAGCTGCACTCTCTTGACTTCAGTACAGCTTTCTTGCAGGGCAGCCTGCGCGAGGAGATCTGGCTGCGCAGCCCACCTGGCTTCACTGGGTCGTTTCCTGTAGGTACCCAGTGGAGCCTCAAGCGGCCAGTCTACGGTCTCCGCCAGGTGCCTCGCGAGTGGCACGACACACTGAGGACTACGCTTGTGGCACTTGGGTTTGCTCCTTCGACTGCTGACCCGTCGCTGTTTCTACGCACCCACACTTCGCTGCCGCCGTTCTACGTCCTCGTGTATGTTGACGACTTGGTCATTCCCACTTCTGACACTGAGGCACTGGCCCTTGTGAAGTTGGAGCTGCAGAAGAGACACACCTGCACTGACCTGGGTGAGCTGTGCAGCTATCTTGGCTTGCAGATCACCCGGGACAGAGCACGACGCACCATCACCCTGACTCAGTGACACATGGTGCACCAGGTCTTTCAGTGCTTAGGCTTCCGGTACTCCTCGCCACAGTCCACTCCTCTGCCTACCGGTCACTCACTCTCAGCTCCACCTTCGGATGAGTACGTAGAGCCGAGTGGCCCGTATCCAGAGCTTGTGGGCTGCCTCATGTACCTGATGACTTGCACTTGACCTGACCTTGCTTACCCTCTTAGCATCATGGCACGCTACGTTGCGCCCGAGAGACACCAGCCAGAGCACTGGGAGGCCGCTAAGAGGGTGTTGCGTTTCTTGTGCAGTACTTTGGGCATGGGGCTCGTGCTTGGAGGACGGGGTCCAGTTGTCCTCACTGGACATGCAGACGCTTCTTGGGTTGACGACTTGGCTACGCAGCGATCGTCATAGGGTTACACCTTCAGCCTTGGCTCCGGCTCTGTTTCTTTGCGGTCTACCCGCTCTTCTTCTGTTCTCAGTTCCAGTTGTGAGGCTGAGATCTACGCAGGGGCCATGGCTGCACAGGAGTTACGCTGGCTCACCTACTTGCTGACCCACTTGGGAGAGCGGCCTTGTTCTTCTCCAGTTCTGTATGTAGACAACAAGGCCATGATTGCCTTGTGTCCAGTCTCGTTCTGTACGTAGACAACAAGGCCATGATTGCTTCGTTCTGTGCTCAAGTCTCTGCTCGCGACACAAGGCAAGCATTGCCTTGTTGTCGACGTACAGAACTGGAGGAGAAGGAGGCCGCTCCTCCAAGTCGATCAGCACATAGGTAAGCCAACGTAGCTCCTGTGTAGTCATGTCCCCAGCGTAGATCTCGGCCTCACATCTTGAACCAAGCACAAAAGAAGAAAGAGTGGACCTCCACGAGACAGAACCAGTGTCAAGACTGAAGGTGTAACCCTGTGATGAACGCTGAGTTGCCTGGTCGTAGGCCTAAGAAGCGTCAGAGTGTCCTGTGAGTACCACTGAACCCCGTCCTCGAAGCACGAGCCCCATGCCCGACGTACTGCACAAGTAACGCAGTACCCTCTTCCCACCATCCCAGTGCACCTTTCGGTGTCTACCGGGAGCCACGTAGCGAGCCAGGAGGCTAAGAGGGTACGCAAGGCCAGGTCGTGTGCACGTCATCAGGTACATGAGGCAACCCACAAGCTCTGGGTACGAACCACTCGGCTCTACGGACTTGTCCGAAGGTGGAGCTGAGAGCGAGTGACCGGTAGACAGAGGAGTGGGCTGTGGCAAGGAGTA